ATATTAGAGTCTTCATTCTTTACCGAACATCATGCGCGAATTGATTATGATACTAATCATATTACCTGGACTCAAGATAAGATATCTTTCACAACCTCTGCAAGTATCGTGGTACCACCAAGAAGTAACATAGGTTTAATGATAAAAGTATCAAATCCAGAAATAGGAACTGGATATGTACCACGAATGTAAAGTAGTAGGGATGGAGTCTTCCTAGGAGACTCACTGGTCACTGTGTCAATGATAAAGCTTTTATTCGAGTTATTAATATCACTGAAATTAAATTTGAGGTTCTTGTTCCTACTATCTTGTTCCTACTATTCAATTACAAGAAGTCTCACAGATTGCCAACTTCGGAGAAATCATTATGGATATTGTTCTGATTTTAAATCGGTCTCCCAGGAACCCCATCATCTTAGTGATGATGACAAGAGGAATCGCAGAAGGGACATTCTAACTCGACAAGTTATTCCATTTCCACTATCGCCAAATTGATAGAATCATTGTCTTCATCTGTTCTAGGACAGGAAAAATCTGGGTGACACCCATTTGATCACGTCCCGATTGACCACTAGCCACTTACAGAGGCTGGCGCCTAAAATTTTTCCACTGTTCAAGTGCTGCGAGTGGCTAGTGGTCAATCAGGACGTAGTCAAATGGGTATCACCCGAAAAATCTTTAGGCAACTTATGTCATTCCACTGAATCCAATTTTTCTATATCTCCATCTCGATCTATTTTAAATGTTGCAACGGAATCCGAAAGATGCTCCGTTGCTAATGCGGCCCGCACTATCTGGGGCCGCCCGAACACTCCCGACCGCGACCGACCACTCCCGACACACGCGCGCCGGCGAGCTGTCACGCATCGACGACGTGATCAGCTATTTTACTTAACAAACGCTTAACCAATTAAACATTGACACGTGACGCGGAGACGGGTATAAATACCGGACGAATTTTGCGAAACAGACACAGTCCTATCCGCTCCTCCGACCTGTCCGTTACAAACAACCGTTCCGACCAGAACAGCGAGAGAAGATTCTCTCAAAGAATATCGAGCGTTTTCCGTATTCTTGTTCTATTCCTTCTCGAGAAATCGGAGTGTTCTCGGATTTTTCGCTCCACAAGAATACCGAACATTCTCTGTATTCTTATTCCTCCCTTTTCGGGAAAAAATCGGAGTGTTCTCGGATTTTTCTCCCCACGACAATACCGAGCGTTCTCAGTATTGCCGCTCCATCTCATCCCGAAAGTCGGAGTGTTCTCGGACTTTCCCGCGACATCCGCCCCACGTGTCACGGCCAGCGTCGACGGTTGCCTAGCAACGCACACGCGCGGGCCCGATTGCCTGACAACGCGTTACCGATACGACCATCGGCATCTGTCACATCAGCAATCGAATCGCGTTACGGGCATCGCAAAGCGACCGGCGGAAAAACGACAACGAACGACCACGCAGCGAGAGACGTCATAAATTATTATAAAGTAATTAAAACCCGGCGGCCGCAAGCTTCTCCCGAACCCGACATCCGACGAGCAACAACCGAGCACACGTCCCCGCGTCCGTGTCGTGGAATAAACCGAGCGCGCAGGGACGTACCGTTACAATGTTTTAAGACTTTCAAATGAAGACAATTGTACCTCGTACTCTCGCCGACTCAAAGTCGCGGAGCAACAAAATCATTCAACTTCTCCGACTAGACCACCTCAATTCAGAGGCAAAACAGAATGTTCTTTCCCTTGTGGAACGCCATCAAGATCGGTTTTACATTCCGACGAACAAACCAGCGAATCCGATTTATCGGAAGAAGAAGACAATAAAACAATGTATCAGCATCTTACCCGAGCTAAAATAAAAACTATTCGAGACAGATTATCTATGCAAAAAGATAACTTGGTTATTTTAACAATAGTTGATGGACACTCATGTGATAATGGAGCTAAAGAATTTTACGAACTCCGTAAAGTTCCGCCACTGATAGACTTAACTCTTGGTCGCGCGCGCGTATGTGGGGTTAATAATAAAAATTTAATCATACTACCGGTTAAAAAAAGAAAGACTTATTATGAATTGGAACATATTTCAGGAAACTATTCGTTCTTTGTTGGATGTAATAGTCAAACTTCAATTGAATTCTTTTAGCAAAAACCCAATAACTAGACGATATACCTTGACCATTAATCGTTGAAGAATTATAAAACACTTTTGATAGGCCCATTTCTATTACCATTTGCGAAGGTTTAATTACGGTCCCTCCTGAAGAAGAAAGGCCAAACATCATCAGCGAATATCATCGATTAACTGCAGGCGGACACAAGGATGTGACAAAAACTTATCTTAGGATTCGTCAAGATTACTATTGGGATAATATCAAAACTCAAATTTAAGATTTCATACGAAATTGTCGCGACTGTCAAAAAATGAGATGAGATGAGACTCTGAAAAAATTGAGATTATAGACAAAGATAGATATTACACTCCCTTCAGGAATTCAATGCACGCTTTCAAGGAATGAATGTATCGATGAAGACGGGGGAAATGTATAATAAGCTCCTTTGCCCGAGACATATAACTTCCATGCTTATAATGTCTTGTATCAAAATCAAGTTTATAAAATAGCTGATTCAAACACTCAATACCCTTTGTATATTCGTTAATAACAAAAGATGTCACTTTTGCCTTATTCAAAAAATGAATATAATATGTGTGGCTATACCTTGATATAGACTGAACATTCTAAATTGTTAATCGTAGAAACAAATAAAAATAATCTCTTTGCTAAACTTATTAGAATTTCTATCGAAAATTTAAATATCTTCACTTATTAATTCTAAATTTGTCTACGTCGAGAAACACTTAAAGACACAAATGCAAGACCTTTACCATAATATTCTTGATCAAAAGTGTAAATTAGAATAACAAGTTTTGAAAAACGCTATATCAATAGCTCATATCCAACCTGATGTTTTTGCATACAACTTAATAAAAGGCCCTGGCTATATGGCTACGATTTCGGGTGAAGTAGCTCATATTATTAAATGCGTTCCAATCGAAGTTATACGTCGCATCATCGAAATCTGTTATTTAGAATTACTAATACCTTTACAAAATAAATCTACGTATTTATCTCCTAAAACTCACATTTTAATAGCTTAATAGCTAATTAATAGTTAATAGCGGTATGCGATCGACTGCAACCTTCTTATACCTGTTATGTATCAGATAAAAGGAAGCTGGATAAGTCTTACTCTGAAACCTACTGCAGTACTGTTGCCTCAAACTTTAGAGCCAATAACTAAACCCGTCTGGAAATATGTTGATGCTGAGCATCTTGCTGATGAATTTATTCCCAGGAAGATCTCTCCAAGTTATGTGACCATATCATGTTCCCTATCGAGAGTATGCTCTCCTCAACATCTTCGCACGGATTGCAGCCGGACAACGCGTCTCTTTGGCGGGCATCTCCCTCTCAGGTTTTCTCGATGAGCAAACTTAACTATAAAATAGCTACCTCTGCCGATGAAAAATTGTGGGCTTTCTGTGCTTCTGTGAAATTTGGAATTGCCAGTTATTGGTATTTTGATGTTGATAAGGCTCATTAAACTGATTGCAGACACTATGATACATTATGCATTCGGTGTGGACGGAGTTTGCACTTACTAGGAGCAATCTTCTCCTCTATTACAAATCTTCTGCTGCACTTGGGAAAACGCATCCTGAATCCTCTTCTCTAGCAATTGAAGAAGGAACTTCAAACGAAACCTATGCCCGCGACAAACCTCAATCTGCGGCACGCACGTCCTTCCAAGAAACTCAGCCATTATACCCGTAGCAATCGAAATGGAATATCCTAGGGGAACAAACTAGCGCGGAGCCATCTCTAGCAACATGGAAGACTCTGTCGAGCGCAACGCATGCGCAACTTGCAAAGAAATTCATTAAAGTGAGCGCAGCAATCAAATAGACGCAAAAGTGTTATAGTATATGCAAAGTTTCTGCCAGAACAGCCAGTGGAAGTGACTTTATAAGAAAAAAACCTCAACGAACAATCAGTATCCATATAATCTTACGTTCATAGTTCCCATAGACTATTACTATAAGTGACTCAAATCTCACTAAGCTCTCAGAAGTAAATAACGTGTTTCTCCCGTTATTTACTTTCTGAACGAGGAATTTAATATAATTGTTAACTCTTAAGGAAGGGAGTGTAACGTTCGCAGAAAATTAAAACTTGTGGATGTTCATTTGAAATTATGTAGATGTAGTCGAGCGGTACCTTAGGTTAACGCATGCGCAATTTTAAATATTAAGCATAACTTTTATCATTTTACAGTTTTATCATTTTATATATATTCTTTTATATATTCTTATATATTCTATTATATATTCTTTTATATATTATTATATATTCTTTTATATATTCTTTTATATATTTCTATTATATATCCTATATATATTCTTTTATATATTCTTTTTCATTTTATATATATTCTTTATATATATTCTTTTTTTATATAACTTTTATTATTAAAATAATTAATAATAAAGCGAGAACTCACTTTCTTTCGTCTTGCGATAAGATATAATTTTATTTTATTACTATTATTATTGTTTTCTTTTGGGAAATATAATTTTATAACGTAATTTTCTTTTTCTCGAATCACCTCTTCTTCGGTTCTCGATGCTGCAATTGTAGAAGAGACAAAGGAGCTGAAAGATATCTATTAGATTCGAAAAAAATTAACGGAGACCGACTGGATTTGAACTCGGGATCCCTCGTCTACCAATCCGACACTTAGTCTGCACGACCACGACGGCTCCTCTCTGTTAGCTGTTTATATTCTGAATCTCATTCATGACCGCTTACGGTCGTCTAATTCTTACAGAGCATTCGACGATCTTAGGTTATAGTAAACTTAGTTTATAGTAAAGGGGAAGCTTATCGCATTCAAAATATTCCTAATATAAACTTTCCAACGAAGGGCTCGGAAAGTCTTTCGTTGCGCAACGAAAATTTAACTGACGAAAACGTTAAATGAATTCTCGTTTTGCAATAATACGATTTATTATTAAGCATTTGAAAGATATCTATTAGATTCGGAAAAATTAACAGAGACCGACTGGATTTCAACTCGGGATCCCTCGTCTACCAATCCGACACTTAGTCTGCACGACCACGACGGCTCCTCTCTGTTAGCTGTTTATATTCCGAATCTTTCATGACCGCTTAGGGTCGTCTAATTCTTATAACTCGGCCATTTTGGCTTTACATTCGTCCCGAATGTACCGAGTCTTCATCTATCAGAATTTTATCCGAAACTTGGAGCTTCTGCTCCCGAATTCGTTCACTTTTTGAACGATCGACACGACATTGGAGTACTTTACTCCCCGACTTTTTCCGTTCACTTTTGAACGATCGACACGACATTGAAGTATTTTAACTCCCCGATTTGGTTCATTTCGATCAACACAAACGACACACACAAAATTGACTGAATTCTCCCTGTCAGGTAACATAGGCTGTATCTTCTCTGAGGTAACATGGGCTGAATCCCTCTTCTGAGATTGAAAGATATCTATTGGATTCGGAAAAAATTAACGGAGACCGACTGGATTTGAACTCGGAATCCCTTGTCTACCAATCCGACACTTAGTCTGCACGACCACGACGGCTCCTCTCTGTTAGCTGTTTATATTCCGAATATCTTTCATAACCGCTTACAGTCGTCTAATTCTTACACATTAACGAATATCTCCAAAAGATATTAGATTTTAGCTTTATTTTCTTTTTTTCTTTTCCATTTATCTTTTCCTATTTTCTATTTTTTATAAATAACCATAGCACGAAATAAAATGCTCAGTCAAGGAGTGCTTTGTTTGCCCCTCCCCTTTGCATCGGGCCCTATCCTAGAGATACGGCTTGGACGCAGACGCGGCAATCATTATCAAATCGTCAGAGAGTACAGTCACTGTCTCAAACTGCTGAATCTTATAATTACAAAGGAAAAGTAAAAGGAAAGGAAAAGGAAATCACTAGAATTCTAATACGTTTAATAACTTACCTCTAACAATTTAAGGTAATCATTGTTTCTAATACTATTTGGAATATTATTTGATTTGCCTATATTATATTATTTGATTTGCTTATATTATACTATTGATTTTCTTATATTATATTATTTAATTTGCTTATGTTATATTATTTGATTGTCTTATATTATATTATATTATTGATTTTCACTTCGTTTTAATATTATTACCTATATAAATTTCAGAGATAATTTAGAATTTAATTATCATATTCACATCTTATCTTATTATTATATATTTGGTATTTTTATATTGAGTTTTATATTGAGTTATATATCATTTATATTATTATTATATCTACGTCAGTCTATGTTCAACGTCAATATCTCTGTTTTATAAATAGTCGCGTTCGCGGCGTTGTTTCTCGCGATCGCGGTACTCGGTGGAGCGCTTCCGGAAAGGAGAACTGTTTTAAGAAAAACACGCTCTTTATTAAGCCAACGATACATCGGCACAGAAACGCGTTCGATCGCCGCGGAATCTGGCCGTGAAAATCACAAAAACAACCGGAGAACGACGCGTTGTCAAGGGCCGATCCTCACTTAAAACTATCATTGATTATATTGATTGATTCCTCGGGGGCAGCGCCGAGCGGAACACCGCACGGCCGCAACAATATATATATATATATATAAAATCCACGTCTCATCCCCAGTAACCAATCTCTTAAAAAATGGATCTTTCTCGTTTCGCTGAAGAAGCAAATCATATGTCGAAATATAGTTAAGGAGGTTGCTCTGTGTCAACTGATGCAGAACCCATACTTCAGAGCGATTGACGTAGCCGATATCTTTGTAAGATTATTATGCAACGTTGTTCGCGGAATGTTTAAAATATCCGCCAATTCACGAACAGATATCGCGAATTTTCATCAACCATGCCCTTGATTAGTTCCGTATCCGTAGTGGATGGGCAGCCGCTGTTCTTCATCTTCCAGATTAAAATTACCAGTTCTAAATCTCCTAAACCAACTACGAATTGTCTGAACACTTGTAGCACCACTCCCATACACGGTGCAAATCTCAGTTGTGGTATCTTTAGCACTGTTGCCTTTTTTAAAACAATGCAGCATTATATGTCGGAAATGCTTGATTTTCCATACTTAAAGGCATATGAAAGGGCGTATATAAGACTTCAATGCAAACGAAACATATCCTACGACAGCTAGGGGACGACTGAAGATAAAGACAAAGACCACAACATTTGACAGATTAGGTTTCATGTTTGTATAAACATTGCCAGATAAAGCAATTGCGTGCAGATAGCGAAAGACACTTTTGGAACAACCTAATATTATAACATCATAATAATAAATATTATGATATTAAAATATTTTATCTAAACTCGGTATAACAACGTTATTTTGGCTTTAATCAAGACGTAAAACTTTAAATTTATTGTATCAAAGCAAAAACACTTAAAATATTTTAATCTGTTTATATTATTGAGATTAGTAATATTTATAAAGCATTTTATAAAGCATTTTAGGTTACGCTTTTGCTTTGGTATAACAAACTTGCAGTTTTAAGTTTTATTATATCAAAGCAAAAGCGGCGTCTATAAGTGTCGGTCCACAATAAGTATTTAATCTTTAAGCCGTAAGAAATTGACCAATCATAGTCGATTATTCTTTTCATATTCGATTATAATTGGTCAATTTCTTATGTCTTAAAGCTTAAATCACCTATTGTAGACCGACACTAAGTTCAGTCGAATGATTCGACGACTACACTCTCTGGAAGTTCGTTAACGACTGCCGCGTCTGCATTCAAGCCGTATTTCTAGGGCCCGATGCAAAGGGGAAGAGCAAACAAAACACGACTGAGCATTTTATTTCGTGTTACGGTTATTTACGCAAAAATAGGAAAAGATAAAAGGAAAAGAAAGAGAGAAAAATAAAGTTAAGACCTAATATTTTTCGGAGATATCATTAATAATGCTTAATAATAAATCTTATTGTGGCGTTGGTAAGGAGCGTTGTCCACGAACGTTGTGCTGAATTTGATCGCGGAAAAAAGATGTGGGTTGCAGTGAGATTCGAACCTTGGTGGGTCCTCAGGTGTTTATAGGCTGGCGCGCTACCACTGCGCTATGCGGGCCATGATAATTTTCGTGGATGCTTTGCTAGATATTAATTGTGTGAGCAGGGGACCGCCACATTATTGCAAAATAAGAATTCATTTAATTCGTTTCCATCAATTAAATTTTCGTTGCGCAACGAAAGACTCTCCGAGCCAGCCCTTCGTTGGAAAGTTTATATTAGAAAGTGCGATAAGTTTCCCCTTTAGTATAAACTAAGATCGTCGAATGCTCCTTTGTCTCTTTTACAGTTGCAGCATTGAGAATCGAAGAAGAGGTGATTCGAGAAAAAGGAAATTAAGTTATAAAATTATATTTCCAAATTATATCCAATAAATATATCCAAAAGAAAACAATAATCATAGTAATAAAATAAAATTATATCTTATCACAAGACAAAAGAAAATGAGTTCTCGCTTTACTATTAATTATCTTAATAATAAAAGTTATATAAAAAAAGAGGAATATATATATATAAAATGATAAGACTGTAAAATGATAAAAGTTATGTACCTTAATATTTAAAATCGCGCATGCGTTACCTAAGGTATCGCTCGACTGCACCTACGTCATTTCGGAACGTCTGCAAGTTTTAATTTTCTGCGGACGTTACAGTCTCATTGTAGAGACCGCTTAAGTCCCGGTCTACAATAATGATTTAAGCCTTAAGCCGTAAGAAATGGACGAATCATAGTCGAAGAATAGAAGAATATTCGACTATGAGTGGTCAATTTCTTATGGTTTAAGGCTTAAATCACCTATTGTAGACCGGGATTTACCAATCGTGTATCAATTATATAAGAAACTATCGATAATACAGTAGTGTTTTATTACCGACTGTGTAAAGAATGATTTTTCTAAAAGTTGGACGATGCGCCACTAAATTTTGCTGCTCATCATTCTTCAACATTCTTCAAATATCTTTCGTATTCAACGAAATGATGATCGAGCGGCAATGGTGTTGTTGGTAACGTGAGGGATACATATTTTTTGGCATATTACTCATCAACTTAAGTGATATATGGACATCAATGATAAAATGCGTTAATTCGTTGGCAATTTAATTATGTCCGTCGTGAAGATCTCGTGAAAAAGACTACAATCATGTGCGATAATATAAGTAACAATCCGTTCGCCGGATTGTTTTCGGATAATGCTGTCTCATTTTCTTCGCAGCAACATATGATCAGTGTTGGAAGTAACGATGCGAATTATATGAAATGCTCATCAGACGCGATTAAAAATGAAACCGAGAACGCGACGACGGAAACTACAAACATTGATGAGAAAGTCGATGAGCTCATGGCACATGTATTCGGTTTGACATTGCGTCGAGATAGCGGCGAACATTCATCCAGTAGATCTCTGATATATATTGATGCCGATTCGATGGAGCATGCAGTCTTTGAGCGTTTAATGCTGCCAAATCCTAAAGCTGAAACACGAAATGTCGATAGCCATGTCGTTCAAACACAAACTCTAATTTATCTTTACGAATGTTATTGTCGTTTAAAACATTATCAAATGAACAATGATGATTTGGAAGAGACTATAAACAACGCTTGTCAAATTGTTCTACGAAACGCCAATACTGCTTTACAAGAACCTGATTTGTTTCAGAATCAGGATCAAGATTTGATCAATAGCCAGGTAATATACTTTTTCAATAAGTATTTTATGAAAAAAAATGTTACTGAAATGAACATGGTCAAAATGTGATAAGATGTATATCGAAGCTATGTACAGCATGGATGTCTGTTACCAACTTGTTATCGACTATTATTTATTAAGGTGCAATTTCATACAGCAAAGCAAAATTAGCTTTTACCTCTATTCCACCTCAACGAAAAGCAGCAAAAGCTATTGCTAATCGTCTTCTTTTTCATGGAGCGAAGAAAAGTCAGCATTTTATTCTTATTCTCAATGCAAAACAGCAAAACACATAAAGATTTTAGCGATTTGATATTTGCCGAATTATAATAATCAGTACATCAAAGAATAGAGCAATATAGATATATTTATAGATATATTTATAGATACATTTATTGAGAAAGAAATTATATAAAAAGTATTGGGTAGCACCTATTTTCGAAAATCATAAATAATGATAAATAAAATCATAAGTAATAATAATCATGTAATAAAATCATAAATAATTATAATAATCATTTTCCATAATTTTAAAATTGTATGATAAATATTTGTATCTTTTATAATTTCTCTTTTAGTTTTTTATTTCATTGACAATATTCTTCTAGTGTTACTTCACTATTAGTTGGACAATGTCGAACTTTTCAGTGTGCCTTTGCTCCATTATATTCATCGAAAATTAATAGAGAGGGTAAAAACTAGCTTTGCTTCGCTGTATGAAAAAGCAGTTTTATGCATGCATTATAGCTTAATAATGTTTTTATTATTATTTATAGATTCATAGTCAATTTATTGCTCTGTTTATGGATGATACTATATCACAGTTGGAATTACCATCATTTATTAATGATGTAGTAGAAGAATTAATAGCAACAAATACAGAATGTGATACAGAGGATATAATTGCAAAATCATTCTCTCCGATCCTTGATATTATTCAGAAAGAAGCAGCTCAGAGTAATCTTTTTAACTTTCGCAAACAATGGTTTGAGCTGCTGAATGTATTTGCCACCATTGATCCATTAGCAAAGTTGTTAATTCTTCATAGCACACCAAAGAAAAGTCACGGTTTTGCATATTCGGATACTTTATTGGGCGCATTCTTCAACTTGAGTTGTTTACCAAAAACACCTAATGATCCATATAATCTTTTTGATAAACCTGCGCATGTAAGATAATTTTTTTATTGATTAAACAGTTTGCATTATATATGTTTTATGTATTACTAAAATGTTCACAGTCAGACTCAGTCATGGAAGGTATATGGATCGGCATGAATAGTCTGAGTGAAGGCCTACATAAAGTTTTCCACTCCTTATTAAAATGTTCAATGGAACTTCGTCACTTGACCTTACAATGGTTAGGTAACTGCCTTCATACAAATGCAAATAGGGGAAAACTTTGGAACACTCATATGGAGATGGGATTATTAGGGGTGCTATATGTGTCGGATGGTTTTATGTTGAATATAGGCAATGTATTGTTACGTCTTTGTCAACCATTTTGTGCTAAATTAAATGATACTAAAGTACCAAAGATAGATCCTACATACTGTAGTGCAGAGGTTGGTTTTCCGAAAAAAAATTCAACAGTATGATATATTGTCAATAATTAATGTGATTCATTAGCTTGCATGTTAAATCTACATTTAATAAATGCTTATTGAAACTTGTTTATTTTCTGTATATGTTTGTATTAGATGAAAGATGAAGCCGAGAATCTACAATGTGGAGTACATTTGAAAGGATTGAGTTCTGAGACGTGTTTGATACCAACTCCACAAGGTGAAAGTCGACCAATGTCGAATTCATTCGGATTCATAACGGAATGCTTTTTTCTCACACATCGTGCATTAGATCTTGGTTACAAAATTATCATGGATAAATTTATAAAGTATGGAAATAACGATTGATTTTATAATTTTCAATTTCTACTCTTGTTGCAAAATATATCACTTAATTCTGCAGGACAAACGAAGATTTATCTATAATACAAAGATATTACAATGATGCTTTAGAATCATCCAGAGAATTCATCAGTTCAGAAGAAGTGGAGCACCTGTCACAACAATTGGAAAATCAGGCATCAAAGTATGTATAAACATCCTTATATATGTGCACATTTTTAATTCTCTTTCCACATATTTTTGTTATGTATTATGATTAGATTGTATTTAATATTAATTTATATGTGAAATAAATCATCTATATCTATATATGAAAATTCATCTTTTTTAGATATTTCACTTTTAAAGCAAGTTTATTAGTACCAGAAATGTTAGAACATATGGTAAATTTTCATGCGATGACGGCATTTTGGTTAACACAAGTCAGTTTGCACATTGCAACTGAAGAAGAGGAAAAAGAAAATTTTATACCGAAACGATATACACCTATTACATTCCCGTTACCAGAAATTGTTCCAATCACACTAAGGTATGTTCAATATATATAGCAAATTACAATAGATATAAACGGAAGGAATACAAAATTTGATAAGCACATTTCTACAGATGTATTCCCGAGTTTATAGTAGAGAATGCCATTGATTTCTTGTGTTTTTACGTCGCTGCAGTCCAGACACATTCGAGAAACATGGTTCGAATTTTCTGAATCCAATTTTGACAGAGGTAAGTGAGGCAGAACGCAAGAAATATAATCGTGATTGTTAAGGAGATGATTTCTGGACTGACCAGTGAACTCCGACGAAAACACACATATGCACATTTAAAAACATACATAGATACATTTATGTATATTCACTCATATATACATTTCTGTATACACATGTGAACAAATTTTTGTATTGCTTTTTTGTATTACATTAGATATCTAATTTAATTCTAAGAACTCAACGTTTCTTCATGTAATTTTCTAGTTTGGCAATATCAGTTTTGTAGGTACAGGCTAAAATTTTTATATAAAGCAAATATTGACGCGACTTGATAGCTTTGGACGTCATTTTAAAGTACCAAATGGCAAAAAAGTCTAAATTTAAAAAATTTTTTTCGTTCTTGATACGAAATTCATATGCTAGATCGTATCAATGCATAAACTTTAATTGTGGAAAAGGATTTCCAGTCCTATAAAGTTAATAAAAAATGAGAGCAATACAAAAATTACTGCGTCGGTAATACAGACAAGTCCAGCATCCCCTTAAGTTACATGTTATTTTCTTTCTAGATTATAGTTTTGATGGAATCTCAGCATCGTTTATATAATCCACATCTGCGAGCGCGTTTAGCTGAAAGTCTAGAAGCGCTTTTGCCGATTACAGACGATTATGTCACTCAAGATAACTTGAGAACACCTAATTTAGGAACATTTCATAGAGAACAGCTGTTTCTTACTCATCCATATAGACAGCAGGCAAGTAAAATTTTGTGTAAAGTTCATTATATCAAGAGATGCATACATAGCTAATTATTCCTAACCTGTTATGTTTGCAAACAGATAATTGTCAGTTTATTACATGTCTTTGTAAGTATCGAAATGACTGGGCAAAGTGTACAATTTGAACAAAAGTTTAACTATCGTCGTCCAATGTACATTGTCATGGAATATTTATGGAAACTTGATGAACATCGTAATATCTTTATGTAAGTAGAATTGTGATATTTATTCAATATTTTTGTCCGATTTATTAAATTCGATGCTGAACAGATAAAACGTCTCATATAACATGTTAGTGCTTTAGCTCAAGAGGCGGAGAATAACATGGAAGCAGTTCAACCACCTCTGTTTCTACGTTTTATTAATTTGTTGATGAATGATGCTGTGTTTCTCTTGGATGAAGCCTTATCAAATATGACACAGTTAAGACAAATGATTCGAACTAGGTATTTTTAGTAATATATTATATTATGATTGTCTTCTGTTTTTTTCTCACTCTATTTTTAAACACAAGGGACAGCGGAGAATGGCGTTATCTACCAGAAAGTGAATACGAGCAACGAAGAACGAATCTTGAGCATATTGGTTTGATTGCTCGCTTTGATAATATTTTGGGTAGGAAAACTATACAAACGATAAAAATGTTAACTACTGAAATAAAATCAATTTTTTGTCATCCGACTATGGTGGACCGTATTGCTTCTATGCTCAATTATTTATTATTACAACTAGTGGGACCAAATAAAAAAAATCTTAAAGTAAGTTGTAGAATTTATAAATGAAGATGATATGTGCTGTAATATCTATGAAATATCTATAAAATTATAATATCTTATAATATCTATAAAATTCAGGTGAATCAAAAACAATATGCATTCAATCCTGCAAATTTGGTGTTAAATATTTGTGAGATATATATTAATCTAAGTAAGAATGAAAGCTTTACGCTTGCAGTGTCGCAAGATGGACGTTCTTATAAACCAGATTTATTTAAATTGGCTGGTAATGTGCTCGGTAAGTTTTTTTTCCTTTGAGAGATACTTTAAGAAAAACAATATTTATAAAAAACCATGTGTATATCATAGTTCGTATCGGCGGTGCCAGAATTTTGAGAGATCTGGATCAATTTGGAAAAAGTGTAGAGGACGCTGCCAATCAAAAGCGAGAAGAGGATGAAATTTTGACGGGTATTCCCGAGGAGTTTCTAGATCCAATTATGTCAACTGTTATGACGGATCCTGTTATTTTACCATCATCGAAAATAAATATCGATCGTTCGACTATAGCAAGGTATATTATTACACACAATTTATATACGAATTTTTTTTTTATTTTATACAAATGTGTGTGTATATATATGTATATGTGTATATATATATATATATATATATATATATATATATATATATATATATATATCGTAATGTTGAATGTCGAACTTCAACAGAAGATACAGGAATGGATTTCGCAAAAAAACCAAGAGAAAATGTTAAGCACTGATACATAATTTATCGTCAATTGTATCACGATAGAACAATATTAAAATTTACGCATATAATACATACTTCGTAGAAGTCTGAAATTAAATCTCAAGACCAAAAATACATTGACAACCTTTCGGTTACTAAAAAAATCCAGATTTATAGCAAATCGTTATTTCATATTCGTTAAGTCGCATATAAATAGCTCCATTTCATCATTTTTTATCATCTTGTCTCATAATCTTATGTCGCTTGCGGACATTTCACAATAATTTTGTATACATATTTTGCAATGTAATTATGTACAGAGTTAGGTGTAAACAGGTATAGAATTGTGAGAATTATATATTAATAATTATATATATATATGC